GTTGCAGAATTACTACTTACGTGAAACCTTGTATAGAATAAAAACATGGAAAATTTCAAATGTCTATAAAAAAATTTAAAAAAATTGTGATAGTTTAAAAAACCTAACCAAGTATAGGATATTCCAATATAAACATTCAGTTAAAATTTCAAGTTTCTACAGTCGTTCGATTTTGAATAACAATAAAATAAGAATATCGGTATAAGATAAATCGAATGATTAACCAATGTTGTAAAAATTTGAAATTTAAACGCTCTTAAAAATTTGATTTTACTTCCAGTAAACATGTTTTATTTGATAAAAGTAGATAAACTCATGAAGAATGTTGTATTGAATTTTTAAATTTTATATTTATAAAGATAATTTTTTATRAATTTTTAATTCAAAATAATTTTCACATTTGCTGATTTTTACGTGTTGTCAAAATTCGAACTTTAAAAGCTGATGAAAACATTTTTAACCATGTATTTTATTATTTTTTAACTACCATGCATTGTAAAAATATATTAGGAGCCTGGTATTAAATTGTTAAGCTTTTTTACGCAATGAATAATAATTGTTGACATTTATAGTCAAAGTTAAAACAATTAAAAATTTCATATATCTATAAATAACTTTAAAATATTTGAAATATTTTGAAAATTTTATCAAGCATAGGAAATGCCAGTTAGTTCCAAGTGAAAACTCAGTGAAAATTTCATGTATCTACTGTAATTTGTTAAGAGTTATACCAATATCCAAAATCAATTTTCTCAATAACCCATTTTGCCGTATTATAATTACCGTTTTTCTTCTATTTTTTTTTTCCAACGTTTTTTAAAACTAGTAAACTACTAGGAATTTTAAATTTTTCCTCCCAATGCACCAACCAGATTTATCTTCTCACCTGAAAAGCTACTGAAGTAGAATTTCCGTAACAAAATATTTTTCTTTTATAGTTAGTTCAAGTTCGATTGAAACCACATATGAATTAATTAAGAATAACGACTTGAGTCATACTGTTGTAATTTAAAATATTGTTTGCTGGTACTTGAAACATTTATTGTATACAAATATGATGAAACAAAATACGCAAATAATAGTAATTCAACCTACTAGCTACAGTAGTAATAATAACATTATAAATATATTAATATGATATAAAATATCCTAGACTGTTTTTCGTAAACAATGATATTATATCATTGAACTTAAATATTTGACACCATCTATTACATTGGCCCACTTTAGTATCCTACTATACAACAGATTTTATCCCACTTACCCGATTTTCAACGAGATTATTAATTACTATTATGAATTAAACTTTATATTGAGAAGTATAATTATACATACTCGTCTTATCTGCTACAGACGAGACTAATATTTACAAAAGTTGTTTTAATAACTAGGTTACAAAAATATATCAAATAGTCCATTAAAAAACGTCATATAGGCATAATAAAATAATAATACTAAGTATATGATCATATGAAATAGTAAATACTATATGGAATTCCAGTTAAAATGTTCAATAATGTAAACAAATTTAATTCTCTTTATTCAGCTGACTTGTCAAAATACAAAGTCGTGTGACTACCAAACAAATAAATCGAATAACCAATCAGATTTCAGCGATTATTGGATGGCGACCATCAATGATGTAAAAAGAATGAACGATCGAAATCGGATTGATGTTGTATTGAAATTAAAAGATATGAAAAAAGTAGTATTACCGCGGCGTTATCGTTTATTCATATTTATTTGACATTTCCTTGTTTCCTAATTAATTTGATTTCAGATTGAAAGTTCGTATGTTTTCCCTTTGTTGTCCGTCCAAATTAACGGTACGGGAATTTCCCCAACATGCCAATGTCGTTTAAAAACATTTTGCCACATATCATGTTCTAATGAAGCCATAATGCAGATATTTACTGTGCCGACATACAGAGGAAACGTACTTAGTTTGTATCAATTTTGGATTTTTTTCTTTGCTGTCTGTGCGTTATGGTCCTGCATGATTATAACGACAACTTTACAAAATTCACTCTGCCTCGATATTTTAGGTAAAATATAATTCCTACAATAATACCAATACTAATAATATTTCTGTAATAAAAAAAAAAAAATTATATCTATTTTTGTTTTTAAAAGATAAACCCGAGGATTTTGGAAAACAAAAATGTTGGTCATCATTTGGTTGGGGATTTTTTTCCATATTCATCGGATGGCTTGTGGATTGGTTCAGCCTTAATAAAAAGGAAAAAGACTATTCGCCAGTTTTTTATTCGTGTATTTTATTCACATTTTTTAATTTGTTTGTCATAAATAAACTTAAAGTAAGTTAATTCTTGGCTCTATTCTATGCATCAATGTATTATTTAATATTTAATGAGGTACAATAATAGTATTAAACAATATTATATATTATATTTTTCTGTATTTTATAGATAACAGAAACGAAAAAATCCGAAGGAAAATGGAAGAGTATATATGGACTATTTACTAAACATTATGTAATTGTATTTTACATATGGGTAGCATCAAGCTCATTTCTCCATACAATTATTACACATTTTCTATTCTGGTGAGTTTATAATCGATTAAATTTTTTCCTTATTATGACATCAATTAACTTAAAATTATTTAGTCTTTTTAAATTATAATGAATACTTACTTATATAATATTCTCATTAGTGCGTAAACAGACAAAATATCACGGAGAATGGAGATGTATATATGGCGTAGGTGCCTATGAGTAGCAAGTAAATTTTGATTTAGGCAGATACTTATATAATAAAAAAAGAAGTCGTGAAAAAAAAGTTATGCTTAATGTCGGGTATAATGTTAATTAGTCAATTTGTAGAGCCCAAATCAATGTTATTTGAGAAGTTTAATTATATTTTACTCCCACCGGTAGATTTCAGTGTTAATAATATATTTCTGTAATGAGCTTTATATTCGACGATAAACATTCTGTATAAAAATAAAAGTAAATATTAGTTAAATGAAAATACAAAATGCCTTATACTATGAATCGATAAAATATTTTTATAGATAGTGTATTATATAAATTACATTTTTACTTATTTCTACCTTAATTTCCATAAAAAATTTTTTTCTAAAATATGAATGCGTCAAATTTCATTAGTTTTGATTAAAGTATAGGTACTTGTATAGTTTATTTAATAGTACAGTATATAACGTAGTACGTAATTATCGTATCATTTAGCATTGCTATTAAGATAATAATAAATATTATATAATGCATAATATCGTATTAGTTCTCTAGACTCCAGACTAGGTATTAAGATACTAGGAGTCAAGTCTCAAGTGTATCATATTAATCCAGTTCTTCATAAATATATCACCTACTGAATAATTGCTGTCTACATAATGTACCTATTTAAATTTATGAGATATTTGCGTATCATATACATAAATAAATATTTTGATTAACGCATGTTCAAAACGACTGAGTTAAAAATATCTTCGAGTATGGCAAAGTTGATTTGACATAATTTTTGCAAAATTATAATATTTGACAGTAAAATAATAATACAATAATATTGTTTCAATACGACTGTTAATATTTTTTCAGGTACATGGAGGATTTAGTTTCTGCTAACAATAACCTGAACCAACGGGCGTGGCTAAAAACGCTTCAAGGTCTAGCTCAAGGCATCCAATGTTTTGGCGGTGAAATGCCGTTTTATTTCTGCTCTGGTTGGATAATCGGAAAGATTGGTCACATTAACTGCATGTCTTTAGCAATGGGAGCGATGGCTATCAGGATGTATCTTTACACAGTAATCTGGAACCCAGTTTGGATCATTTTAATAGAGCTATTGAATGGTGTGTCATATGCATTAGGAGCAGCGGTGAAAATGTCGTACGCAAAAATGATGTCACCCGAAGACACCACAAATACTATAATCGGAATATTAGGACTTTTCGATTGCATTGGTAAACTATACTTGAGATTTAATGTTTCTATAAATTAGTATAAGACAATATGCTATTATTATTAAAAATAATAAAACCATTTGATAGGTGATATAGATATACCTATCATTCTCTTGTTCTTAAGGGACCTGCATGTGACCTGTTTTTATACTCACAAAAAAAGCCTTACAGACTCAAACCTAACACATTATATCATTTTGAAATGGATTTTTTATTTTGTAGGTGAAACTTTAGGTAGTCTACTGGGCGGATATTTATTCAAATTATACGGTGGAGTGTGGTCGTTTCGATTTTTCGCGTATTGCTCGACTTCGATGTGTTTTTTAAACATACTAAGCAATCGTTTTGGATTTACTAAAGGTTTGACAAATTATAATTTTGTCACAGTGCCTGAGATAAAAAATAGAAAAAATGATGACGTCGATAGTGAAATATAATATAATTTTTTTTAATGACGTGTTATTTTGTATAAAATTGTCTAAAGAGAAATATAATATTATAATGCAGTATAATTCTAATATAATAAAATAACAAATAATACCTATATTAACTGCATTAGAAAATATTAAAATAATTTATGGAATTGTATATTTTATAGCTTATTGTTGATAATGTAGGTGTGTATGAGAAGTTGGTGTACAACACTTTGTGCACTAACTTCAACAATATTATGGCATCATAAAATAATTGAAAAATTACTGTCGTCAATACATTTCAGATTTTCTATTTTTACATATAGTTATTTCAGATTCTAAGCAGAGCGATGACTATATTAATTATGCGGAGTCATGAATATATTGTATACTACATGTATAATACTTACACACTATACACGATAAGACGTAGTCAAAATATTGCTTCGATTTTTTATCAGCGTAACACTAACAAAGGTTAGGTCCAATGGCCAATGTCTAGAAATTAAAATCAAGCTTAATCAACTAATAGATAATTATGATTTAATGAAAATTAAAAAGATAAACAAGTGGGTTCTGATGTATAATATACTAAACAGTAGTTGTCGAGTATATCATATTGTAATGGATATGTTAGATCTTAGATTTGTACTCAATGATAAATTATTGCTAGAGTTGGTGTTAAGATATAAATATTTATGTTAATAGACTTAAGTATTCATATTTTTTATTTTTGCAGTAAACATTGCAGACCAAGTAATCAATTCGTTTAGTATGGCATAGAATTAAATACATTAAATAATATTTTGCATAGTTTTGCACATATAGAAGTTTTGAGGGTTAAGTGCATAATATTTATAATATAAATATAAGTGCATGTTTTGCATGTTTATTTTAAATATTTCAATAAAAACTGAGGAAAGTTACAAAATACACAAACATTTAAAAAATTAAAATTCTTATAATCTAAATTCTAAATATATATTTTTTTTCAAATAATAATTAAATGAATTTTTCAAGTTTTTAAGGTCATATACCTCCTAACCCTTATTATCACATACAAAACATAATTCTGAGCCAAGACAGTGTGTCATCTTAGTATATTAGTATAAATAATCAAATTTAATAATTAAAAAGGCGGGTAAGTCGTGGATGTCGCTCTGCTGTACAGTAGGTTACAAGTGGGTTACTGTAATGGATGGAATTAAATTTGAATCCAA